AGTTGTGGGATTGTAACATTTAAGGTGCACGGCCCATTTAGCACAAGGGGAAAGGGGACTCCTTGCAGAATGAGTGGCCCGACCTGCATACAGCTATGGCGGGGGCTGGGGAAATCATATGAAACGGTGCTGTATATGGATTCTCCCCACTCTAGCTCTGAGGGGGGGACATGGGCCCAGTGCTTGGGGAGCACAGTGAGGAATCATACCTAGACTCTAACCCTGAGATGCTCTCTGTGTACTAGTGGGGAGAAGATATGAACTAAAATGATTTACGTACCGGGTGCAGAGGGATACCAACATGAGCAGGTGCTGATCGCATGGCCTGGAGGTCAGAGAAACCGGGGGTCAGTACCAGGTGGGGACCCTAAGGGAGGCGTTGTGGAAAACTTGGCATCTGAATGATGAACCTACTGCTCAAATGCTTTTATATAAACATCAATATCAATATTTAAACTAGTAGTCGCTTGTGTTATTAAAATTATTAAATATTATTGATATATATCAATATATTACATTATTGATATATATCAATTGATAATATCAATATTATAATTATATTGTAATATCTCTAATCCGATATTATTATAATATTGATACCATCAATTGATATGTTGATATGTATCAATATCTACTGTATGATATATATCAATATAGCAATTGATAATATCAATAATATTGATATTAATATTTAAAGAAAAGGTGATCATTGTTGTGCCAGGTGAATTCGACTCATTTTGGTGATAAGAAGCATAAACATTCTGCATCTGGAGTTCTTAAGTCCCTTGAGGAAAAGAACCAAGAATGAATGATAAAACAGTCACTAAGGTTGGAGAGCCATGCATTTCGAATTTTACAAACTCTAACCTTCCTGTCTAATTAACAAATATCAACTGTCAGAATGCACCCCCGGCAGTCAAACTCCAGAATCCTACTCAGCCTCTGTATCAGGCTGCCTTTCCAAGGCCTCTGTGTCTGGCATTTTGCAATGAAATAATTTTGGATATGCCCACAGATGGACTAGACATCTTTAATTTTTAAAGGCTTGCCATTCAAATCACAATGTTTGGCCACATTACTTTGTTAGCCAGAATATTGTTCTAATTGTAACAACAGGAAAATACAGTCAAGTCTTGATTATCTGTGTTAATGGGGGGAGAACAGGATGATCCAATCATGGTGTGCAAAAATCACTTGTTGGTTGATTATATCACATTAAATTACTTTAAAAATTACATGACATTTTAGTAGCTAATTACACACTATTTATACACATTTTATAACTCAACATTCTTTGAGCATATTTGTAGTAAGGTAAGGTGATGGGAGATACTGTGAAAGGTTAATCAAGTTTTAGTGTTGCCTCCCAGATGTAAATAACCACATTTGGAAGGCAGAAATAACTCAGAAGATACGGGCTTATGACACCTCTCACCTCCAAGCTGGGAGGATTCAGAGCTTACCTGAGAAAGGAGGTTTATCATCTGGGTCTTCTGCCCCCACAGAAAGGTGTTGCTTTAGACACTGCATGTGTGGACTCTAAAGAGACTAGGTACACTGGGAGACTCCAATTATCTGGCAGAATAGAATTTCACTTCGTACGGTTAAATCACAGGTGGGTTACTCACACACAAGAGGACGAGAAGAAGAACTTGAAAAGATTAAACGAGCAAAGCAAATTTTCCTAGTGCTCCTCTTTCAGAAAAAATGTCAAGCAACAATACTTTCCATTGAGTGTATTACTTCAGCTTGGGGCCTAGGAACAACCCGTGACTGAGCATACGAAGTCTACTGCTCAGACCCAGCCAGCAGCTATGCTCTCACCTTCTGAAAACACCATCTCAATATTCTCTTAACAAATTATCCCTCCCTATGAATGCGGGCTTAGTGTGATCAAGGTGCTCTGGCTGTGTGAACCAAACTGGACTGATGGATATTGATGACAGTGGCATCAGAATGGGACACAAAGCTGATTCATTCCCACACAGGACCCTGAAAAGACATTCTGAAGTTCTTGCAGTCTGGACCCTTGGAGAGGCCTGGTTCCTACTCTCACCAAGCCTTGGTCCTTCTGTGTTTCCTCGGCTCACGGATCTGAACTGCGTCATTCTAGCTAACTCCTTTCTGTTTGCTCACGTTAGCCAGAGTTGTTTCTGTTGCTTGCAACTAGTGCCGTGACAACCATGAAGGCCAACAAATCAGACAGGTTTCCGTGAAGGTGCCCCGGGCCACTTTCTAATATCTTCACTTCAGCCAGACTCAGCTAATCCAGGACTGAGCCGTTGAAGCTGAGCTGTTAAAGGACTTCTTCAGGACATAAAGTTAGAAGCCAGGCCTTTTAACGCTTCCCACCACATCACAGAAGTAGTAACACAGTCTTTCTAGTTTGCTATGGCACCCAGGTGGGCAACTGATGGAAAATGCTACTTCAAAGACCCCTTCAATCAATTAATCAATGAGTATTTATTGCAAGGCACTGTGCTAGGCACTATGGAGAGTACATGGAAGATAAGACCAAAGTCCCTGCCCTCAAGGAGCTTACAATCTAGTTGGGAAGACAAGGCATACATACAAGGAAAGGTAAGTAACAATACAGGAGTTAAATTATAATGCAAGATAACAGTACAAGAGATTTCCAAAAGTCATACCTGATTCATTACTAAATGAGTGGTATATATAGGGGTTGCAGCTAATTCAGAAGAAGGATGTCACAGAGGATGGACATGTGGGAAGGCTTCACGGACAACCTAGGGTAGGGGCTGCATTAGGACAGTTGGGATCTGGGTGAAAGAGAAGATGGGGGTAGCGGGGAGCATTTCACGAAGGGGCAGCCAAGCGACCAAAAGGCACAGAGGTGCGACCAAAAGCAACCATTGTTCAGGGGCCAGGAGTGTCTGGAAACAAAACAGTTAAGTTGTTTTAGATTAAGAAAGGTCTTCAATGCTCAAGTTTAGATCTTATCCTTTTAGCATTGGTGGTGGGAAAACAACAGGTATACTTAGATTCGATATACAAAAGACTTAACTAAGCAAGAGAATATATTCAAGTCTGATCTTAGGACCTTTTTTTGTGGAGTATGACCCTTTCTACTTCCAAAGAGGATTTGAAATGATGTCTTCAGGGCTCTCAATTCCAAAGAAATAGCTCTGGGTTGTCTAGCTTTGGGTCATGGTCAGAGACTTTTGAGTCCCACTATAATCCCTAATTATAACTAGCACAAGGGTGAGCTAACAGATTCCCTGACAGACAGGCAGGAAAAATGCTCCCAAAAGACAAGTATCTTTACAAATGACAGAATATTTATTAACAATACCTTTAAAAAAAGATTACATATGCTAGATCACTGGTAAATGTCATTTACACTGGGGCTGGGGACTACCTGGGGTGGCATCTTTTTTTCATTCATTTCTTTATTTTGTTGATTTTGTGTGTGTGTGTGTGATTTTAAATATTATTTTATTTTAACATAGAAGTTAATCATATCAAACTAAGAAAGGAACACAGCTTGAAATACTGACAATATTTTTTCTGGTTACCACCCTAATTTTTACACAAATGGAATCCTGATCACGACTTTATTGGATAAATATGACTAGAAGGTTGAAAAGTTAAGTTATATATTACTTGTAAGCAAAAATGACAAATTACAGGTAAATTTGAGCTCTCTAAAAAGAAAAGGTGGCTGCATGTTTACATGTAGACGTTTTATAGAAAATTTCATTGCCTTTTATATTACTGTCCCACCAGTGTCCACTTACAAAACCTCCCCCATCATAACAAATAGCTCTTTTCTTAAGAATATGGATTTGGTGATATTGTCATTTTCCAATGTGTGATTTTTAAGACTTAGAAGGTAAAGCTTATAAAGCAACTAGACTACCCATTGCAAACCAGGAGAGTCATAAAGATACCATATAATTATCCTAAAGACCTTTTTATAGAGTCATATGAAAAATTCTTTGTGGCAACTATTTGCTGAAATAGGAGAAATCTTCCAAACTCTGTATGGAATTTTGATTCAAAAGAAGGGATCTATTGTTACAGAGATACACGTATTATATATAAGAAATCGTGTAAAGAAATTATGAATCCATTGACAGAGAATTACTTGTCTTAAAAAATTTACATTCAAAACAGATACATTTAAAGATAGTAAAATTATCTTGTACCCTTTGAAAGACTTGGTTGACTATAGTAACTTTTGGCCTATGTTACTACAGGCTATGTAACTTCAGATTTAATGTCTAAGGTAAAGCTACTACAAAGACAAGGCTAACTTAGTTGGGTGAAAAGAAAGTCTCACTGTACAATGCTAAATTCAGGGACGGGGGTATTGCACAAGATGCCTCCTCTCAGGCGGTCCATTTTGTTTTTGAGATTGCAGCCATTCTTGAACCCCTCTCCAGTTGTGTTGAACAACAAAATTCACAAGGGGGCGGGAAAACATACTGTACAGGTCCAAACGCATTTGCCATCCAAAGATGGTTCACCTACGGCAGCCTCGAGTTACAGAGCTGTTCCGCCACTAGATCCTCATAAAATTGTACACATGGTTTGCAATTGATTAACCAAGAGGAGTTTCCAGCTCTGTTTTGAAGGGAAATATTTTCAAATTAGAATTGCATGACTGTGTTGCCCATAGCATTTTACAGCAGAGGAAAAAATTAATATCTACATTATATGTTAACTTTAAAAAATTCTATAAAACACTAAATATATAATAAAAATATGCATATAAGGACATATGTAAACTGCTTTGGTAACATCGTATTACAGATGTCTTCAGTGCATCGCAGAGTCTCCAAAGAAACTTCAGACCGAGCTCGGTCTGCTTTGAGGAAGTACTGTATAATGCCATTCCGAAAAAAGCAAAAAACATTTTTTTTTTCCCGGTAATAAGATGTACTCGAACAACAATATTACTTAGTACTGGGTGTCTTCAAAACAACTAGCTAAATGTTGCTTATATTATAAACAGCAAGTCCTTTAGATAACTTTTGTCATAAACTGGACCTAGCTGTGAGGGAAATCATTATTGTACTGATGGCTGACAGTGTACACGCGTTCGAAGTGGAAGCCCCAGATCCTCTTGCGTAGGCATCTGAAAAGAGAGAACAAATCCACTGAAAACAGCCTCAGCCTGGGTACAAAGGGAAGAGAGGCCATGGGGCCCTTTGAACCAGCAGGACTACCTAGGTTCTGCTAGAAACGATTATCCCTTCATGACTTTTCAATATGAGTTCTATGACTACTTAGCTTTGAACTTGGGAGCAGGGTATGGAACATCCCTCCCCATGCCTCTGTTAAACCGTTTGTAAAATGTGGATGTCCACATCTAATGTGAGAAGAAACTTCATTATTACTAATAACGATTCTGACAAATTCATCGTTGGTGCAAGAAGATAAAAATTGCTACTCCCTTTTGAATTCTCCCCTTGTTTGGGGCACAGGTCTATAGGACCCTTAAATCTTGCAAAAACTAGATGAGAAAAAGCGATTGCTATTACCTCATTTAACAGATGAGATCTGGGCCCAGAGAGGTTAGGTAACTTGCTAAGATGACCCAGCTAGTAAATAGCTGGATTATGATTCAAACCCATGTCAGTCAAAATAAACCCCTCTTCTCCAAACAAAATAACTCAATCCTTTTTAAACTTCTGCCTTTTCTTATGGGTCCTACACTTTTCTTTTTCTTTCTTTTCTTTATTTTTTTCAATTTCAAGGCCACTCAAGTCAAGCAGTGGGAGTGGAGAAGGAACAAAGGAATCTGTACCTGTTTACAACTTTGGACCAGGCGAGTCTTACATTTTTCATAGTAAGAGGTTATCATCTGTCATTCAGAGTTTCTTCAATATTGTAAGATGTCTTTGACCATAATTAAACATCTCTCTCTCAAGGGAAGAGATCATGTTTTGCTCATTGTCAACTCCTTATCATCTAATAACTATGCCAAAATAATTGCTTAAACTATGTTTTTATGATGAATAAAACCAGTAATCTGTCTGCCTAAAAAAAAAAAAAAAAAAAAAAAAAAGCCAATCTTTGCAATAAGAAAATACAAAGTCAGATTTTTAACCGAGTGAGATAAATAAACCCCAATCTTGTTGTGTTCTTGTGGCCTGGAGATTATTTCCATCTCACCATAAATCTGGCTTTTTTTTTTTTCAATAGAAGTTTGGGGCTCGGCGCCTATAGCTCAACCGGCTAAGGCGCCTGCCACGTACACCTAAGGTGGCGGGTTTGAATCCCCAGCCCGGACCCGCCAAACAACAATGATGGCTGCAACCAAAAAATAGCCAGGTGTTGTGGCGGGCGCCTGTGTTCCCAGCTACTTGGGAGGCGGAGGCAGGAGACTCGCTTGAGCCCAGGAGTTGAAGGTTGCTGTGAGCTGTGATGCCACGGTACTCTACCCAGGGGGACAGCTTGAGGCTCCCGTTTGGCGAAGTCTAGAATCTAATTCTCCTTTGTCTTTTCAAAGACAAAAATGTCTTTAGTGTCTGTATGCCCAAAAAAAAAAAAAAAAAAGATGCAGTAACCTAGAAACACTGGCAAATCGCCCCGGGGTTCTAAGGCACGGTCCTGTGGAGTTTCCCACCCACCTGAAGTCCAGTTGTATTTGTTAGAATTAACAAATGCTTATCAAATCTCAACTAAACAAAAGGTGGGTCAGAAGAAGAGTGAAATGACCAGGGAAATATTTCTCTTCTGATTTGAGGCACTGGAATTTTGTAGACGTAGTTAAAATGCTTAGTGGGGGCTTTATCACATGTATCAGTAAGATATAATAGACCCTTTCCTCATGTGAAAAATAACATGATAGACCTTGGCAGAGGAATACCATAGGGATAAAACTTTGAACTCTGAGGTGAGATTTTTTTCCTGGAATATAAAATATCATATCTCCATTGACGGCTTGAAAATTTAAATCACCAGCCTCCGCTGATCCCCTAATCTCTAGACTTCTAAATCCAAAGGCCAGTCAAAATCTACACTCAGCAATCTAATGACAATCTTTTTCTTTTTATGATAGGATAGGATACATGTAACACAAAACTTACCATTTTAACTAAAGCGTGAAATTCAGTGGTCTTAGGTACACCTCAGTATGGTACAACCAGCACCGCTATTTAGTGCCAGAATTGTCTACCACCCCAAATGGAAACTTGGTAGCCATAAAGCTGTACCTGATTTCCATCTCCCTGGATTTGCCGATCCTGTGTTTTTTCTTTAAATAAATGGAATCGTACACAAGAATAAAAAATATACGCTGCTGAGACATTTACAAACATAGTAAGTGAAAAACAGAATTGAAAGTATTTGCTCAAAAAAGAATACTCTCTCACATCCATCATTCAATGATATTTGAAAGTGAAGATACTTGTGACTACATAGAGACATATGTGTTTACACACAAGTTACAGATGCACATTCAAAATAAATAGTAGGTTCAAAATTTTCACCTGAAGACACTGAACTATGATGTTTCACTAGAGACAAACTGCTATAGCATTTTAAAGAATGCTTTGGCTTGGGTTCTCCCTGAGTCATGCTCGTGCTTTTAACTTCCTAAGCTGTAATTTTGGGGTTATGTAGATACAAACCACATAGGTCAACATGGAAAAACCCTTGTGACTGATCCGGGGCTGTTTTGACCTTATTTTTCATTGGCAACAGATTAATCAGTCAAAATAGGGACAACTGGTTTTTTGCACAAAGTGCCTATGTTCAGCACACAGAAGTCGTCTGAGGGAAGAAGGGTGGTGTCTTCCATTTTTATAGAAGTCTTCTTTTTGGGGATTCATTTCTTTCAAGCACTGACTCATCTGGAAGGCTGATAGGATGGCCAGGGGGAAACAGAGAAAAAGGCATTCTTACTTGAAATCTTTGGAATTCGAATTTGTTCACTGCTGCTGCCATCGCCCCCATCGCTGAATGGCTTGATTTCTATGATGTAATCTTCATCAAATGGCAAAGAAAGCTCCACCGATGTTTTATTTGTTTCAATGACAGATGTGCTGCTTTGTCTGTTCCATCTGTACAAGACCTGCCAATACAGAAAGAACAGGTGTCACCTGCTGTCCTCACAAAGGCCCCAAAGATGGAGCATTCATTTGTTTTCACCTCTGGGCACCAGCAAAATGCAGGGATGTGGAGGCTGCCTGGCTGCCCGCTTGCATTTGGAAGGCTCACTTATGGTGAGGGAAGAAACAGCTTAAAAGGACAGTCCAGCAGGGGAGTGGGCAGCATGATTGTGCCAACCACCTAACCTATTGTAGGCTGACTGTCTCCTGAGGATGTCCAGAGCTCAGTTACACACTGGGCTTTGGCATCAGCACAGACTTGGCCACTGCATGACTGTGGGCCCCTTACATCACTTCTCTGAGCCTCACTTATGTGTCTGTAAAATGGGGAAAATGATACCCACCCTTTGGAGCATTTTCAAGATTGCACAAGGATTGAATATGGTGACGGTCTGGCTCAAAGGAAGCATATAAGAAATAGTGTCTATCAAGGCTTAAATAAGAGAAAGCACATGACAAAGTTAGAAGCATGTGGCAGTCATAACCAAAAGCTTATTACTATCACAGATCTTGGAGAGAGGACATTTCAGCACAGGAAGAAGATCTCAGAAAGGCAAGGGAAGCAAACACCCCCTTCTTCTGTCTGGGATCCCTTTCTGAGAGGCTACGTAGAAAAGAGTCAATTATTGTTGCCTACAATCGTCTGGAGCTTGCGACAACAGTCCCTCTAGCGAATTTTTGTTTTCCTTCTTGGCCCCCATTGGGTTTTGAGTCTGCAGTGTGAGGCATTTGATGAGGTGGCCAACTAGTTCTCCTGAAAACACAGTCACCTTCCTGAGACCATCTGCTCTGACTGGCATCAACTCCAATCAGGAACAAAACACACAGGCCTGGAAAGTGGGTTATCTTCCTCTCTAGCAAGTGCATTTGCCTACAGAACCTCTACAGCTCACCCTCGCCACTTTCCCCTAACTAGGAAAAAGATAGGGTTGGATGGGATCAGTGGGTCTCCGTTCTGACTGCACATTAGAACCCCTTGGGGTGCTTATAGAATACTGATGCTCTAGCTCAGTGGCTCTCGACAGGGGTGGCAAGGGTGGAAGATACATTCTTCCTCGCAGGGAGCTATTTAGCAATGTCTGCAGAAACTTTTGATTGTCACAACGGGTGCTACTGGTGTGATGGGTAGAAACCAGGGACACTACTGGACGTCCTACCACGTAGAGGCCACCCTGCAGCAGAGTCATCTAGCTCAGTGACAGCAGTGAGGAGGTTGGGAACACTGTTCCAGTCCCACTCCAGCAGATCTGGGGAGGGTGCTGCAGAGACGGGATCCAGGCTGTGGGATGTTTTATGAAAACCGATTCTGAGGTGATGTCAATATGGGATGGGCCTCGTGAATTCCATTAGTGGATCTAAAACTCGAGCATGCATCAGAATCTCTCGGAGAGTTTGTTAAAACACAGACTGCTGGGCCCCATTCCCAGAGTTTCTGACCGAGTAGGCCTGGGGTGGGATCTGAAAATTTGCATTTCTAACAAGTTCCCAGTTAATGCCAAGGTCGCTGTGCCAGGGTCATGCCTCGAGAAACACAAGATTAGCAGATCCTTCCCTAAACTTCCCTGTAAATTCTGATCTGCTGAGGTTAGAAACATAAGGTGACTCTTCTATCTCAAGACAAAACCAAACACAAGAGGAATTCGTAAGATTCTCTTAAAATGGTTTAGATCCCATTTGTTCCCTGGCATTTCATCACCTTAATTTATGTCTCTCTAATACAAGGTGGAAAACACAATTTCCTTAAGGTGGGAAGATTCATAAGCGGTCCCCCGTCCCCCTCCCTCTGAAGCATCAGTTGATCAGACTCAGCATCCCCTTGCTAATGATTAGGCACAAATAAATCCTCAGGCACATTCAGGAGTGTCACCGCTTCCCATCACAGCCCTCCAGGAGAATGGGCTGGCTGATGGGATGCAAGGTCACAGCTGGCTTTGAGGAATAAATTGCTTCTTTGATTTACCTCTGCTCCTTGCAAGAGCTCAGAGAATTCAACTAGTTTGAAATATAAATCCAAAAGAAACACTTCCAGGAAAAAGCAAGCCTTTTATCAGCACTGCTTATCAGTTTTGTAATATTAAGAACCACAGTGGGACCTAAATAAAGTCCTGAAAACCTTTATTTATACCAAACACTTGGTTCAGCTGATTGACGTGAAGGACGAGCTTGCATTTGACATAATCCAGGTGGTAGGCAAGGACAAAGAATGGATTCATGGGAATAACGATAATGGCAAATATTATCAACTCCTTCCATTATTGAACGTCTGGGTACTGTATGTTCTAGATCAGTGGTTCTCAACCTGTGGGTTGCGACCCCTTTGTAACAATGAAAATACATAGCAGCATTAGGAAGGTTGAGAACCACTGTTCTAGATGCTTACACAGATGACCTCTTAAAGGAGGCACTCTTGTTATTCTTATTTCAAAGACCAGAACCTGAGACTTGGAGATGGTAAGCAATTGTCCAGGGTCCCATGGCCAGTAACCCATGGAGCCCTCATTGGGGCCCATCCAGAGTTGGGATTCTTCACCAAGATCATCTTGGCCACCACCTGTGTGGCTGTGGGCAAATTGCTTCACCTCTCTGGTCCGTGTCTTCATGAATGCAAAACAAGTAGAAAATTTGTGGCCCGTGGGTCATATCCAGTCGGCATGTATTATGTGTTTGGCCCACATAATGTTTACATTTATTTTAGTTAGACTCAAAAACCAAGAAATTATACATGAAAAAGTTTTGGGTTCTTTTGAAAAATTGGAAGATATGGCCACACTGGTTGATATAGTTTGAACATTTGGCCCTCAGAAACTTAAAATTATTTAATTGCCATTGTAACAGTACCAAGAAGTGGGACCTTCACGGCCTGATTAGGTCATGAGGGCTCTAGCCTTGTGGGTGGGACTAGTCGTGATATAAAATGAAGATTGCACCCTCCTCCTGCTCTCTGTCACCCTCTCTCTCTTTGTGCCATTGAGTAATGCAGTAGTAAGGCCCTTGTCAGATACCAGAACTTTAATACTGGACTTCCCAGCCACTAGAACCATGAGGCAATACATTTCTGTTCATTACTGACTACCCAGTCTCAGATATTCTGTAGCATAAAATGGACTGAAGTAGTGGTCACAGCAACAACCAGCTGGAGCTGAGAATTGTCACTCTGGACAAGCATAAAGTCTCTGGTTTTTCCCAGTCCCCTGCCCTCCCTATTGCACTGGCAGTGCCCACCTCAGGACCTTTGCATTCCCTGTTTGCTATACTTGGGATCTTCTTTCCCAAAGAGATTCCGGGGCTCAAATGAAATGTTGCCTCCTGAAAGTAGCTTTTCTTGGCCTTTATATAAAATAATAAGTCTCTTCTATTTACTTCATGGCTCTCTCTATTTCCCTCACTTTATTTTTATTTGTAAGACTTTATTACAACTTAATCCGTTTATTGCTGACAGGCAGAATAACCAAGGGGCAGTGAGACTCTGAGCCCAGGTCTTCAACGTACCAGCTGTGTTAACTTAGGAAATTACCAAACTCTGAGCCATGATTCTTCACCTATAAAACTGGGGCTAATAACTTCACATATTTCATTCGTTATTATGAATGTAAGATGAATTATAACAGTGCTTAGCCTTAGCATATATATTAATAGTTTTTTGAATGGACTGAGTCATTGTAACCCTTTATGTTGTCACCTCTCTCCATACGCAGTTTATTGTGTGGTACTGAGGCCGTAATTGTTCTCCTGTTAGCTCTGGTGTCAATAAAGTAGCTTGGAGATTTGTGCTAACAGAATATTATAGGCTTCACACTTTCTTAAGTGAACTTTTTGTTGAGACTGTCTACCCAAGTTGAGACCTCACAAATCCAGACAATTTAGTGAAAAAGCAAAAATAAACCCACGCCGCAATAAAAATAAATAAACTTTTTTAGTATAAAAAGCAAATTTTGGAAGGGCAAGTCTGATGTAATGAGTCCAATTCTCTTTCAAAGGTCAGTCTGCCATTGCAATTATATTCTTATTTTATTCAATTCATAATCCCACCACCTCTTTTAGTGACATGAGGGAAGGTTTCCTGAGAGACCCTGGGGGGTGCCATGTATATGTGAGTGTGCGTCTAGGTGTATATATGTATATGGGGGGTTACATATATACAAAAATATAGTGTCCCTTGTTACTGCAGGGGATTGGTTCCAGGATTCCCACAGACACCAAAATCTGGGGATGCTTAAGTCTCTTATATAAAATGGTGTAGTATTTGGATGTAACCTAAGCCTATCCTGTCGTATAATTTAAATTATCTTTAATTATAATAGTATGATTATATACTATGTAAACAGTTGCTATGCTACATATTTTAAAAAAATTATTATTTTATTAGGTTATTTTTATTCTTTTTCTGAAAAAAAACTTTTTTTTCTTTTTCTTTTTTTTGGGGGGGGGGCGGACAGAGCCTCAAGCTGTCACCCTGGGTAGAATGCCATGGCATCACAGCTCACAGCATCACAGCTCACAGCAACCTCCAACTCATGGGCTCAAGCAATTCTCCTGTCTCTGCCTCCCAAGTAGCTGGGACTATATGTGCCCGCCTGGCTATTTTTTGGTTGCAGCCATTGTTGTTTGGTGGGATTTGAACCCACCAGCTCAGGTGTATGTGGCTGGTGCCTTAGCTGCTTGAGCCATAGGCGCCGAGCCTTTCTTTTCTTGAAACAGGGTCTTACTCGGTCACTGGGCTAGGTGCAATGGCATCATCATAGCTCACTGCAACCTCAAACTCCTGACCTCAAGTGATCCTCCTGCCTTGGCCTCCCAAGTGCTGTGATTAAAGGCATGAGCCACTGTATCTAACCTTTTTTCTAAATATTTTTATACATGGTTGGTTGAGTCTGCAGATTCTGAGGGCCAACTGTATGTATACTTAAATCATATATACCAAAACATTCCTATGTATGTGTGGGCGTCAATTTTTCTGGCCAGA